GCCGACAGCTATTTGCCGTTTTTTCGCAAAGATATACGCGCCACGATGGATGCAAGCTGCGCGTGGAGACAGCGCTCGTCGTCGACGCCGACGCCTTCTCCGCCTCATCGCAACGGCGGCAGCGGCAGAAGCAGCAGGACTGGTCCCAGACGAGGGAGCTTCTTGCATTCTCTGCCGGCGTCTAAACTGGAATGTGCACAAGGAAACTCTGGTGCTGGAAGGCCAGTTTGAGCGCTGCTACCGCATGAAAGCAGCTTCTTTCAACCGCTTGCTCTCTTTGATACGACATGACCTAGTACGAGACGAAGTGCAGTCGCGCCACCGGACTGGGACCGAGCCAATTTCCCCCGAAAATATGCTCCAAATGACGATCTCGTGGCTTGCGGGTAGTAGCTATCATACAACCAGGTGCCTTGGCGGTGCGTCCACTTCGGGCTTCTACGCTCTTATCCATGACGTGATGGATGCCATTTGTGCGTGCCCAGAACTTCAGATTCGAGCACCAACAGAGTCGCAGCAGCGCATGCTTGATTTAGCGGACGGGTTTGCAGCAATTAGCAGGGACAGTATTCTGACTGGGTGCGTGGGCTGCATCGATGGCTGGCTCTAGGCGCCATCGTCAAAAGAAGTACCGGATGCTACCTCGTTCTACTCCGGGTATTACCAAAAGTACGGCCTCAATGTCCAAGCAATTTGTGACTCGCTGTCACGTTTTACTGGGTATTGCTTTGACTCGCCTGGAAAAGTAGGCGACTCGATTGCTTTCAAGAAGTGGAAGCTGAGCGAGAAGATCATGGAGCTTCTTCTAGGGTTTTACATCATTGGCGACAGCGCGTACCCACTTTCCGATTCATTGCTGGTGCCGTTCAACAAGCTTGAAATTAAATGCTAGGCGCATTCAGACTACATTTTTATCTAAGCCAACTACGCATTCGTATTGAGATGGCGTTCGGGTTGCTCGTTAATAAGTGGCAGATTTTTAAACGCCCTCTCGTCGTTGACTTTATGAACGCTAAAAAGGTGATCAAGACGTGCATGAAGTTGCATAACTTCTGTATTAATGAGAGCACCAAAAACCAAAACGCTACTACGAGCATACGGGCAGTTGCTACGGAGTTGCATAGCTTACCAGAGAGCTGGTATCAGCCAACGGACAATGCCAGTGAGCCGAATGTCTTGCGTCGTGATGCACAAGGACGGATACTACGTGAAGTAATCACGACTCAAATTCAGAGCTTTAACCTTCGACGGCCCCGCGCCCGTTAGCTGGATGTTGAATGTGGTGAACCAAGCGGCAGCATCTCGTTCATGATTTCGTACTCCAGCTCATCAATCTGGCTCTCCAGTACTTGCTTTTTCTTCGTGTGTTGCTCGAGGGCGTGGCTAATTTCAGCAGCATCTAATCCTTTTTCGACGTACTCTCGACGCGTTTGCAAGAGCTATTTAATTACGTGGCTATTGCGGTCGAGCATTGCGTACAGCGTCTTCAGCTTTTGGGCCGATCGTTGCTCTTGAATGAGTAATTTTTGTTCGCCCCACGTGTCGTCTTGCACTGTGCTAGTGTTCTGCTTCTCATTGTCAAGCAACCCGTTCACACGCTCTAAAATATCTGCAACAGAATCGTATATCTGGGCGTGTTTTTGGCGCTTTCTGTTAACTTGCTTTGTCGTCGAAGTTTTACCCTTTTTTGTTGAGTCGTCTTCGTCCTCCGGATAGACGTTAGCAGCGCAAAACTCGCGTCCATTCTGACGGTGAACACACCACCGATCCAAGTAGTACACGTCTGCCCTCCCGTCACAAAATCCCAGAAATAGTGGCTACCCTGTCCTGAAACCTTGGACCTCGCTTCAGCGCGAGCAAAGTTGCTGCTGAGCTCTTTCCAGATCCGTTTCAGCTTTCCTGCAGAGTGAATCATGGTGAAAGAAGCATCAATGTCTTCAAACACAGCGTCTTCTGAAATCAAAGTGTTAAACTCGCTTGTATCTGCACCAAATACTGTTGCAACTTCACTCCAAAACGACGAGCCACCTTGAGCAATCTCTTCGCGCGTAAGCTGATTTCCGGTCGCAAGAAGTGCTTGAAAGAATCGATCAGAGAACAGCACATTTACTAGGCGAAACATGCAGCCCTTGGTGTGTTTATCATCATTGTCACGATTGCGCTTGGTTTGCTTGCGCTGGCGCTGCAGCAATGCTTCCCGTCCTTCCTTGTTTGTATCCCACGCAGTGAGTATCTTCACGCGCTCGTCCTTTCTCGTGTTCTTCGCAACATTCAAGCTGCGCGCCGTGCACTCGAGCTTGAGCTGGTCAAGGCTCCACTCATTGTAGTCATCAGAGGTGTGTGTGTGTGGGGGGGGGGGCGTATGGCGCGCTTGCGCGTGTCAAGCGCGACTTTAACGCTTCACTTGGATCTCGCTATGGGTGTGCTGGCGCCGGATTCGGCCGCGAAAGTGCCGCCGGAGCCGCTAGTGGAGGTTGAAGTCATGTTGCTTTTGCGAGTTTGCGGGCAAATTGCTGTTCCAGGTCGCGATCCGGTCAAGAACGACCGGGATCGCGGTGTGTAGCCATCCCCTCAAAGGCCCCTACCCCCTTCAGATCGCAATCCCGGTTAGGAATGCCCCTTAGGGTCCCCTAATGTAGTTTTGGCAGACGTCCAATGCTGAAATCCTGATGGTTACAGACGTGTTTGTAAGACGATCGTTTTTGATGTCGGTGACAATATATGCGCTCTCAAACTCAACTGTCTGTCACGGACTTAAACTGGCAGTTTACCTTAGTGCTGAACCGCGATGCACAAAACCAATTCAATCCATCACCTAAGTATGACTTTTTAGCAAATTGGACAAGTGCTTGCGTTACAGTATTAAAAGACATTGCGATTAGATCCTGGAAGTCGATCTATTTATAGCTGCTTGCTGCAGTGCGTTGGAGACGGAGATTTGAAGAATGATCGTAGCTCAGCATCGTGCAGTCATGGGCCTTGGCGAAGCGCTCTCTCTTGAACAAGCCCTTAACTCTTTATCTTTCCTGTATGGTCAAGCGCGTATTGATAAGCTGACCTATACGATGTCATTGCCGAATGCGCCTCAACAATGCCTTTCCGTGTAGACTTTCCTGGCAAATGGAACAGACTGCATCTTTTATCGAAAATAAACAGTGCGCCAATGAGACCACAGATAAATAAAAACCCAAATAGCTTTTCGAAGGTTACATTTTGCCTTTTCGTAAGGAACCTAGCATTCCTGTTCGTACCGACAGGTTTGAAATCGGTTTTCATTCTACCCCCTAAATCAGACCCATTAGAGCCCAATGAACCGATTCCCGCAGGGTGTCGCGTACAGATTTTGTCGAGCCCGTTATTTCAGACCGCTGCGAGATGACATGGGTTGAAAAATCCTTAGTGAAACCAAGAAATCTGCTGGAGGGGTACCCCCGACAGAAGTATGAATCTGTGTGGTGACCTTGTTCTATGGTCATTTATTAATTAGCCGAAATCTGTCCGAAATCGTGGGCTACATATCCTGTCCAATATTTAACGCCCAGAAATGGAAATGCACATACAGCTTATACCCTCGCAAACGCGGTCTTACTGCTTTCAGTCTTTTCAGCCAGAAACTTACGTGGCTCCGCCCAGAAACTGAAAACTACTTCCTGCTTATAACCTTTCAAAATCGGCTGTATCAGGCTTAGCATATTTAGGAGGTGATGTCTGTCTCACGCAAATGTGGTTCACACTAACTGTTTGAATTTCGAATCCTCCCGCTAATTGCATCATTGCACGTCTTCGAGCAGAGCAGAACATGACGAAAGGCACAAAAGGTCTCTGGCTAACTATCAACCAGAAGTGCAAGGTTATTGAAAAACATGCCCGGAGCTTGAGATCCAGCTTGGCGAGTTTGTGATGGAGTGTCAGAGTGCTCATGTCTGTCTTTCTCGTCGGCTCATTACGAATAAGGGTTAGCGTATTATGGCGAGCCTAAAGCACCCTCCTCCTCTGAAACTATCTGACGGGTGGATGTCGCGCTTCATGAAGCGTCATGGCCTTCGATTTCGAACCATGCATGAGGAGGCAGGATCTGTGGAGGCTGACATTATTCGCGAAGGGATGATGGCGATGCAAGATATTACTCGTCATTACGCGTTGCGAGACATCTGGAACATGGACGAAACTGGGCTCCTGTATCACTCGGCAAAGACGAAGGGCATATGCATGAAGAGCACTACTGGTCTAAAAAAAGACAAACCGAGAATAACGGTGGCGTTGGCGGCTAACGCTGACGGATCTGAGAAGCGTCCAGTTTTCTACATCGGAACAGCTCTACGCCTTCACTGCTACAAGGGAAAGTATGGAGATGAACTCGGCTTCTACTACCGGAATATTACTAAAGCGTGGATGACGCGGACTTTGTACACAGAGTGGATCAAGTTATTTGATAGCGATATGCGTGCAGCCGGCAGAGACATTCTACTGTTAGTCGACAACGCAACGTCTCATGAACTTCAAAGCGGTGAGCTCATTAACATCACTGTGCAGAAGTTGCCGCCAAACACTACATAATATCTTAAGCCAATAGACGCCGGAATTATTGCGGCAGCAAAGAGTGGTTATCGCGATAGGCGCATGAGTTTGGCGTGCGATAGGGCTGACAAGTCGATGCCACACAAGGCTCCACGTTGACCAATTGCAAGGAATGAAGTGGGTTGACAAAGCATGAGACGATATCACTCCAGAGACAATTCGCCACTGCTTTATGAAGAGCGGGATAGTATTTTCAGAGGAGAAGGAGAACAACCCAAGTGAGAATGAGCGACGTTTTAATTTGACAAATAAATGTGAGACATTTTCATTGTGATATTACATATTCGGTACATAATTTATAACCTGGGGGAACTTTGAAGGTCCACCCTTTTCAGTTTCTGGGCGGAGTCTGTAAATGTTTGTCTAAATCCACCTCCCCGAATATAATCGCACTTCCAAATCAACTCTCCCCGACTCAAGTGATGGGCGAAGCATTTCAAATCCTTGGCTTTCTTGGGTCACTGCTACTGGCGGCGTCGCTGGTGCCCCAGGCGATGAAATTGTACAAGACCAAGAGCGCGAAAGACATCAGCTTGTCATACCAAATATCGTACGTTCTGGGACTTGCAATGATTGTGGTGTACGGCTTCGGTCGCTGGCTCTGGCCCGTGTACATCCCCGCTACGATTGAGCTGTGCGCTGCAATCATAGTGTTCAGCATGAAGCTCTACTACGACTGGCAGGAGCGAAAGCAGGACGGCGGCAAGGTCGCCGGCGCCAGGTCCGAGGTGGAGGTCCAATGAGCTGCTTCAAGAACAGCGCACTCCAGTGACAAAAGTACATTTCCCAGCAGCGAAGAGCTAGCACTAAAAAAACATGTACAGACCACCTTTTGCAGCACGTTCTTCCTGTAATCAATGTGTGCGTGGAGCTGCTAATGGTGGTCTGTACATCGCAGTGCGATGGCTCTGGGCCATTGGCTCAACGTGAAGGGTAGACATCGGCTGGGACCACTCAACTTCGATGACACATGTCGACAGAATACTAAGCCCAAGTTGTCTTCACTGATACCGGTAAGCACACGACCCCTGCTTACGCTCAGGGTACGCACGCCAGCGAAAAAAGAGTCGTTGCAGCTCACAACTGGACCTGCCGCGTAGCACCTAAAGCGCGATGACCAACATGGAGATGTTCTACGACACGCTAGGCCTCGTGGGCTCTTTCTTCGTCTCAGCAGCGCTGCTCCCGCAGATAGTGAAAGTATTTTGGTCCAAGAGTGCCAAAGACATCTCGAAAGCCTTCCAATCCGTTTTTGTCGTCGGCATCACGTGCATTACAGTGTACGGCATGGGCGAGGGTCTGTGGCCCATCTGGATCCCCTCGATACTAGAGCTGCTCGGTGGCATCATCCTTCTTGTCATGAAGCACTACTACGAATGGTGCGACACTAAGCGCGTTGAAAAAGAGCGAGAAGAGATGCTTGCAGCGGTCGTTGCCGAGGAGGGCGTGCCGACACCCGCCGCCGCGTATATGTCAATACTTCAAGTAACTGATTAAAAATATAATATTCGGATTGGTCAAAAATGTCGCTTTGATCATTTGCTCTGCTTTCTACCAATCCTAGACCGGTTTGTGGTAAGAGCGGCTGTCAGCCAGGAACGCCCTCAATAAGCACCAGTAGTAGCAGCCAAGGTATCCGTTGCTCGTCCGACCTCCATCAGCCCCGAACAACACCTCAAACGAAGAGATGCCGCCGAAGAATAAAGGAGGAGGCCCGTCAAAGAAGTCGGTCGAGAAGCAGAAGGATAAAACCCTAGAGGACAAGACTTTCGGCCTCAAAAACAAGAAGAAGAGCAAGAATGTGCAGAAGTACATCCATGAGGTGACCAAGCAGGTCAAAGGCGGCAACACGCGTGCCGACCGCATGAAAGAGCAGGAGAATAAGAGAAAGAAGGATGCCAAGGCGGAGCAGGAAAATCTCAAGAGTCTTTTTGCCGCTGCCATCACGCAGCCCAAGGTTGGTGGGTTCGCTTGTTGGTACACTTGTCGGACTCAACATTCATTGTGCTATATTTCTTTTGTATGTACAGGTCCCGCCTGGAACGGACCCCAAATCGGTGCTCTGTGCCTTCTTTAAAGCGGGCGTGTGCACGAAGGTGAGCTGTGGACACTGGCGAACTATAAGACTATTGGTTTGGTGATAATTTTTATTTTATGGTTGATATAGGGAAACCGTTGCAAGTTCTCACATGACTTGATGGTGGGCAAGAAGGCTGCTAAGATCGACCTGTACACGGACTCTCGTGCCGAGAAAGAAGAAGGTGCGGCGATTGACTTGCAGGAGTACTGAGGGGCCTGTACAGTATCTGACATGGGTAATTTCAACGTTGAAATGCTTCAGATAAAATGGACACATGGGACCAGGAGAAATTGGAGAAGGTGGTTAACGAGAAACACCACGAGAAGAACACCAAACAGACGGAAATCGTGTGCAAGCATTTCTTGGACGCTATTGAAAAGTCGCTGTACGGATGGTTCTGGGTGTGCCCGAACGGTGGCACGTCTTGCAAGTACGCAACCATATGTCGAACTCGTTTTTATTACTACAAGTAGTAGTATCTGATTATTTTTTCTCTGACGAATTATCCTTACACGCGTAGATACCGCCACGCTCTTCCTCCTGGCTATGTGTTCAAAACCAAGAAGGAACGTGAGCTCGAAAAGGGCAACAAGGTGATGGACATCTCCATCGAGGAAATTATTGAGCAGCAGCGTGCCAAGCTGGGCCCCAACGGTGGTACTCCTGTTACCGAGGAGTCGCTTGCGAAGTGGAAGGCCGATAAGCTGGCTCGTAAGAAGGTGGAGGAGGCCAAGAAACTCAAGGAGCAGTCGAAGAGGACCGGTGGTCGTGGCATCAGTACGTTTACTACTGTTGCCTGCAGCTTGTTTGAGACGTCGGGTGTTTCTAACCATCACTTCTCCTTGTATTTTCTGCAGTGAGTGGCCGTGCACTGTTCACATTCGATCCGTCGTTGTTCCGCGATGATGCAGATGCTGACGATGAGGCTTACTCAGTTCACAGTGATGACGAGGACGATGATGAGGAGAAACCTTCACCAGCAGTTGACGCGGCAGCAGCAGTGATGGACAAGAGTCTGTATCTGCAAGATGTGGACGATCTCGACTCCTTGAAGAAGTGAGCTCGGACTTGAACCACCTTGAGGCGACATCACGGAGACGAATTGTGCGTCGTTCCTGGCAATGCGCTCGTTTTTGCCTCGCTAGCTCGTGTCGTGTCGTGTCCAGGAGACCCGCTGAAAGGCACCTGGATGGATGTCTGATTTGCAACTCTTTGTCCTCTAGCGGACTAAAAAGAAAGTAGAGAATCGTGCCGGAAAGCATGTAGACTGACGGAAAATATACGTCTGAGTTCCGAGGACGTCTTCAGGCATCTTCATCGCGCAGCCCTGCCTCGCTACCTATTCCATGGTATCTTCTTCATTGTCGCCGCCCTCGTCTTCGGGGCGTCCCCCTTGACTCGCGTCACCAAAAGTTAGGATCGTCGAGCTGGCATTCTTCAGGCGCCCGACGATGCGTTCGGCTCGCTACAAAATAACGACAAGCATGAGTTACCCGCAAAACGAAGCACCAGCCTCAAGCTGTAACTTGCCGCCTCTTGCATCTGGTGCAGCTCATCCATTCCGGCTTGAATCATGGCAGCGTCGGTCTCCAATTGCCTGTGCTCAAAAACAAAGGCGCCAATTACGACGTAGTTCGTGTTTCTACTGCATACACGCATACGAAGCCGCACCGGTGTGAAGTCAGCAGATGCTTGAGCGTCGTAGTCAACTGCTTGGCCATCTCCTTCAAGTCAATCTCAGCCGCCTCCACTTCCGTCGACGAGTTCTGCTCTGCCGTTTCTTGTTCCCCTTGCGTCTCTGGTAGCTGCTGTGACAGCGCCTGCCCCACCTCCTCCTCCTCCTGGCTCTCCATCAAGCGCGCTTTTCCTCTCGTCACAGGCATTTCCCTTGTCGCTACAAACTTCGAGTGAAGAGCAAGTTGCCGCATCCGCCAGAATGCAGCCAAGTCACCTTGTGTCGCTTGAAGGTCGCTTGAAGAAAAACCTGGCAAAAAGCACAATCGCCATGGCGCTGCTCACTACGCATGTACTGCTGGCGATCTGCGTGCTAAGCTTCGCTATTCGTCTCTTCCCGGTCGTCACATGGGGAAGTGTACGTCTATCATATCTCTGGACTCTCTCTTCGTGAACCTCTGACCCCCATACCCTCACAGGTCATCCACGAGTTCGACCCGCAATTCAATTTCCGCGTTACGAAGTTCCTGGCCCAGCATGGCGTCTACGAGCTTCTAGACTGGTTCGACAATCGCGCATGGTATCCTCTAGGCCGTATCGTGGGCACGACGGTGTATCCTGGGCTTATGGCTGGTGCTGCGGGGCTTCAGTGGCTGCTGACGCTAGTGCTGCGGTTCCCGATTTCCATCCGTGACGCCTGTGTCTTCCTGGCGCCAGTATTCGCGGCACTCGCCTGTGTAGCGCAGTTTTTGCTGACCCACGAAGTGACAGATAATACGACGACGGCACTGTTGTCGGCCATGCTTCTAAGTGTGTCACCAGCGTACATCTCGCGCTCCACAGCTGGGTCCTTTGACAACGAGGGCATTGCAATCTTCCTTCTCATCTTCACCTTCTACCTGTGGGTAAAAGCCATTAAGACAGGCGCGATGCTGTGGGCAGCTCTGACTGCTGTTTCGTACTTTGGCATGGCGCTGTCTTGGGGAGGATACGTTTTTATTCTCAATATTTTGCCAATCCACGTGCTGGCGTTGTCGGTCTCGGGACATTATTCGCCCAAAGTGTACGTGGCATATTCGACGTTTTACCCGCTGGCGACACTGGGAGCGATGCAAGTCCCGTTCATTGGCTTCAATGCGGTGCTAAAGGGTGAAAATGCTGGATCTCATGGAGTATTTGCGCTTCTGCAAGGTCAGTTTGGTGGTGTGACAAGACATTTGTGTGTGTTTAGTACCCTACAATGGCTGATTGGTTGTTGTTGGGATGGTGTTGCTGTACACAGCGTACGCGTTCATGCAGTGGCTGTCTACCCAGATACCGAGAGACCAATTCAAGGTGCTTCTTCGAACGTGCGTGAGTGTTGGCGTCGCTATCGTCGGTAGCGGCTTATTATTAGCCTTGTTACTGGGAAAACTTCAATGGAGCGGTCGGAGCTTGACGCTTCTGGATCCGACGTACGCGTCCAAGTATATTCCGATCATTGCATCGGTGGGGGAGCATCAACCGACTGTGTGGTCAGCGTTTTACTTCTCTCTTGGGCCAGCGATGCTCTTTATTCCGTTGGGGGTCTTTTATTCCTTCCAGAGGCTGGACGCCGCTTTCCTGTTTATGATTATTTACAGCACATTTGCCTTCTACTTTTCGGGCATCATGGTCCGATTGCTGCTGACTCTTGCCCCGGCAGCTTGCTATCTTTCGGCTGTTGGTGCTTCGGGCTTCATGCACAAAATCGTGAAAGTCACACGCAGAGATCCAGTTGAGGCTGAAAAGTCAGAAGGAACGGAGACTAACAATGCCGGTGATGAGTCGATGAGAAGGACAGGTGACGAAGAAGAGGAAGATTCGACCAAGTCTCATGCGGGGGATATTCTCTCGGCCCTTGCCGCTAAGCTGCGCTTCCAGCCCGATGATGGTGAAAAGCAGAGGGCTCCGAGGGGGCTCCAGTTGCTGGTGCTCGCTTGCGGGGTACGTGGTGTTGGATCTCGTTTCTATGTCATTTGTACTAGCAACTGAAGTTATTACCTGAATTCAGGTTCTCCTCATTATCCACGCTCGGCATTCATCCAACATCGCCAAAAAAGTTTATTCATCCACATCGCTTGTGTTCGAGAAAATGAACATGACAACGAAGGAAAAAGATTTGCACGATGACTATCGAGAAGCCTTTGCGTGGCTACGGCAGAATACGCCAGACGATGCCAAAATCCTGAGCTGGTGGGACTACGGATACCAGATCACAACGCTTGCAAATCGCACAGTGCTTGTTGACAATAACACGTGGAACAACACGCACATTGCGACCGTTGGGCGCGTACTCACATCACGTGAAGACGATGCGTTGCCAATTTTACAAAGTCTTGACGTTGACTACGTGTTCGTACTGTTCGGAGGACGCGTCGGCATGCCTGGCGATGACCTGGACAAGTTGCCATGGATTGTCAGAATCTCGGAAGGCGTGTTTCCCGACGACGTGATCGAGTCGGAGTTCCAGGTAAACGGACGCTATATTTTCCACGAGAATGCGACGCTCGCGATGACCCAAAGTGTTCTCTACAAGCTAAGCTACTTCGAATTTAACCAAGTGCAGAGTCCCTCTGCAAAGGAAGGCGAGGAGGACCCCGTCTTCGGATGGGATATGAGTCGTCGATTTAGAATTCCACAGCGCGACATCAACTTGCAGCATTTCGAGCACGTGTTTACCTCGGACGCGTGGATGGTTCGGATTTATCGAGTTAAAAAGCGGTAGACTGCATCGATTCTGGTTTAATAGAAGTCCAGTCATCAGAATCTATGACAGCGAGGTTAAGAAGAAGAAGAAAAAAAACAGTGTGGTTAAAAATTAAACAAAAGAACAAGCCGCTGACACAAGAGATGCCGACAAGAGCCAGAGACACACGCGTTATTGATAATGTCTCGCGTCTGCCACCTCCCTCATTCTCGACCATCTCGTCGACTCCCTCCATCCTGACCCAGCCAAATTAAATCTACCATCCCTGTCGTTCATCGCCCCAACTTGCAACACGCAAGACATCCACCCGCTTTCGTCTTCTTCTTTCTCGTCCCTATCGCTTTTTATTGTCATTGTCCCAGCTATCGGTCTTTTTTTGCTGAGAAACGTTCACAGCACTTCAATTCGTGCTGCTTACCGGCAACACACACCGTGTCAGCTCATACTGGGAAGGACGGTAGCAGCTCCCATTTGCTGCTCAAACAGACGCGTTTGCGTAAGGTTCATTGGGTTCAGCGAGCTACGGTTACGACATCGCCTGGAGCTGCACACGCGCGTCGTTGAGCATCTGCACAACCGACTCGCTGTCCGGACGAAGTGCCGGGTCGAACTGCAGACAGGCACGGGCAATACGCAAAATCACGTCAGGACAGTCGGGCGCGAAGCTTGGTCTCAACTCGCCCTTGGCCACCTTAATCACAATGGCCATGTCAGGAGCACCACCAGCTCCAGTCTTGCTACTCTTCTCTTCGAACGGGATCTCACGCGTGTCCAGTTCACTCAGCACCACACCGAACGAGTACACGTCGGCCTGTTCACTGTAGTTGTCGCCCAGCATCACTTCGGGGGCAGTCCAGCGCACCGTACCGACACCGGCAGTCAGAGTCTCCTCGTATGTTCGGTTACGACTGAGTCCGAAGTCGCTCAGTTTGGCCACCATACTCGAATTCAGTAGCACGTTCCGCGACTTGAGATCACGGTGGATAATCTTGGGCGAACGTGAGTGCATGTAGGCAAGAGCCTCGGCGATGTCAATGGCAATAGAAATCTTCTCCTTCTTCCAGCTGAGCTCGATCTTACGGGTTTCCAGCAGTGTGCGGACGTCACCGCCGTCCATGTACTCGGAGACGCCACCCAGGTCCTTCTTGTTGGTCCAAGTGCAGCCGATGAAGCGCACGATTTTAGGATGCGACAGTCGGGACATGGTCTCAATCTCGCGGGAGAAGGAGACTGCCTCGTCCTCCCCGTCAATCATGCGTTTGACGGCCACAGGCTGGCCATGGTAGTGACCCAGCCACACGACACCAAACGCGCCGCTGGAGACCTTGCGAGTCAGTAGTACTTCGCTCTCATCTAGTCGGAACTTGACCAGCTCTGGGAAACAATTGTCCGAATCCGCATGGTTGCCACCTTGGGAAGCACCCAGGTTGCCGTTGCGCTGGTTGCGCGGGGCAGGCACAGAGCGACGCGGCTGGTTACCGTTTTGCGGCGCCGAGAAGTTGCCGTTGTTCACGTTGGCTGCGAGATTCGAGTAGTTGGCCTCATTGTAGCGCCCGGTCGAGGGGCCATGCGGGTCGGTCTTGGGCTTGCTACTGCTGCACCCCATGGCTGTTGTGTGGTTTCAGATAGAGAAGGAGCGCTGCTGTTTGTTTGGCAATGAGGGTGACAATACCGACAGGAGCTTAGCGCCGGTTGAAAGCACAAGGAGACTGATGAGAGCAGACGTACGTTTGGTGGTTGCACGTAGCGAGCGGAGGCTCTGCTGGGAATGTGTGTGGGGTTTGTCTTGGGAGGAATGGGAACTGCGTGCCCAGGGTGAGTGTTGCGTCGCCTTCTTTTAGTGGGCGTTTTTGAACTGGCTCCGGAGTGTAGGCGGCGAAGGGTACATTTTCTGCTCAAAACCTCTATGTTCCGATACCGTGCGAGTTAGCAATGTCACATTTGTAAACTGATAAACACATTATTGCAGGCTACTATAATACAGATGCATTTATGTAAGAAATACTATCAGATACATGTAATTGGATGAAGGGCATATATTCATTTTCTAAAACAAAAAGCTGGCGGATTTTTCCGCAGTACCTACCGATATTAATACAAGTTCAGCAAAAATACCACACGAGACTGCTGAAATACTACATGTACTTCGTCCGTGTTGTCCGTGACCAATGCTCGGGTGTCCCCTCTTTACCAGTGCTTCGGTGAGTAACGAAAGCTGCGCAGAGGCGGTGGGGATAAAAGCTCGGTGTTATTGCTGTTTGCTGCTGCATTTTGGAAGTGCTGCTCCGTCTAGCTCAACGGCTAGGAGCTGGGCCGGCTTCACAGGCTAAACGGAAGCGCCACAAAACAATGCAGGTAGAGGAGCAGCGTTGATGAAAGTCACTTTCTGTGAAAGTTTCACCACGTTCTCGTCGTGTCGAAGTTGCAAGCGCAGTTGAACTGCCGCGGCAAAGCTTTCGAATCGTGGCGACTCCGGTCGAGCAGCAACTGGCCTTAAAATATGTAGATTCTGTACAATAGCTGTCTTAATTTTGGCGCAAAGTCAAACCGCCGATCTTGTCGTTGCACTTTACATTTAGCCGGAACGTGGTTATTGCGCTCGACTAACTCGAAACGACAAATGCTCTTTTGGTTAGTTTATCGTGGTCGCTCCCAATCTCGAGGTCTTGGCGGCCTCGTGGGCCTCTCTTCTATTGCTCCACACTGATAGGCACCAATGCCGCCGTGGTGTTCCTGAACGTTGCTTGCTAGCGCTCAGCTCCGGCTGTCGTCGAAGACGGTCGACAATACCATGCAGTCGACATTCTGGCAGGTTCATCAACATGCCTCTAGTAGGAATAAAAAACCGTCTAGTTCAGTGCCAAACCTTTGAAAACCGCGTGGAAACTCTTCCCTCCTGTTCGTCTAACTGGGCATGATGCTTGAAAACGGCGAGCTCACTTTGTGAACGGACGCGTCGTGCACAGGCCAACTTGGACGTAGCCGCTCTGGAGCTCGACTAGCGATAATCGTTAAACGACTCGCTTTCTTCAACTTTTGCTGACGGGATCGCATCTGATAAAATGGGAGGAGCGGGGGAGCTAATACGTTTTAGCGGCCAGCGCAAGTGCAAAGTGCAGGCGCCCCAGATGATGTACTACCTGGAGGGAGGACTGCTCATGGTGAGCAACCTTCTGTTGACCGATTCGTGGGTTAATGACGAGTTGCGAACACATTGCAGTGCGTGCTTCATGCAGTTTCTGCCATTCCGGCGACGACACCATTGCCGAACGTGCGGTGAGGTGGTGTGTGGTGGCTGCTCTAGTCAACGCGCCATCCGTCTCACCGACATGAACGTGGAGTGCGAGACTCGAGTCTGCACGTTCTGCATCATTCGCGCCGCCGACGCGTCGATCAAAGCCAACGAAGCTGCTATGAAGGAAACCAGTCAGGAACATCGACGACTCTCCACTGTATCGGTGCTGAGTCTTGCCTCACCAGCAGTTCGGCGTCGTAAGCAGATGACGCTGCTAAGTGCAGACTCGGAGCTAACGCTGGGTAGTGTGGTGCAACTATGGCCTCAACCGGTGCCAGCGAACGAGACCGCTAGACTGGAAGTGGCCAGAAATTCAACTATCCGATCCGCGGAAGTCGACCCGACCATGAACTTGCTTGTTAGCATTGTAGGTCGGGCACTCGAGTGCCCCGCAGCGCTCATTGGCATCATGGATGACTCGTTGTTGTGGGTCAAGGCCAGTGTGGGCTTGGATGACCGCGTCACGCACATCCCGAGAGATGATTGTGTGTGCGCCCACACGCTCATGCAGGACAAGACAATGATCGTGGGCGACACTTGTGCTGACAAGCATTTCTTCCATGCAGGAGGCCACGCCGTTGGAGGCAGCCCCATGCGTTATTATGCTGGAACACCCGTTCGCGTCCGAGGCCACGGCATCGGAGTAGTGTGTGCTTTCGACACAGAGCCTCACTCGCGAACTACAGATGCGATGGCGTCTACTCTAGAAGCAGTGGCTAACATCGTCTCTGAGGTGCTCGAACAGCGAGTAGCAGCGGATGGTACGATGGATTCGCCTGTCAAAGTGAAAGACAATGCTGACCTCTATCAGAGACACCGCACAAATACCGAGGAGTTGGATCTGCACGCGTCGCTACTCGGCTTAAACTTGTTGCTGTTGTCGCAGCGCACGGTATGTTCGTCAGAAGATCATGACCACGGTGCACCACGCGCCTCGTTGTACTTGCCATACGAGTATTCGGACAAAATCACGATGAACATGGACTACTTCCAGCAACTGCAAAGGAGCTCTTGGGTTGAGCACGCCATAGAGCCGGATATGAGCAACAACGGGACCATTAAGCAGTTTGAGCTGTTCAGTAACGAGAAACTGTTCACAAGAAGCGTGACAAAGATGGCTGGTGACTGCTCTAACGTCGTGACTCAGCTCTTGGACTACGAGGACGCCCTTCTGTACCAGCAGTTCTTCTCGCAGGTATCCGGTCGACGAGAATTGAGTGGACAGACTTGGGTAGATAACATAATCTTACGCCCGAGCTTAGGTGCTACGAATGCTGAAGGCTTACAAGTAGTTACACATCGACGAAAATATCCGGATGGTAGCAACGTGATCGTCGCGATCAGCACTTTGAAAGAAGTGAGTGAAAGTGACCTTCTCTTCGGATGGTTCGTTGCTCCAAGTGGCTGTGAGGACGAGGCGAACTCCGTCAACGTGTCGTGCATCGCCATCCAGTCATCTAAAAGCCAATCCCGTCGTGAAGTAAACCTCAGCCTCGACTTGCTTCGTCGACTCAATCAGAAGCTGGCCATGACTCGCTTTTTCCATCTTCCAAGTGAGATGCCGCCTTCTATCAAAGCAGCAGCGTTGCGAGCTCAGCTGTCGGGCAACCAGAGCACACACGAAGGTGAAGGCACAATCAGTAGCAGTAAAGACAACCAGGGCGAGAAACAAGACATGAATGAACGGGAGGCGAATCCTCAGGGCGACAACACCAACTATGTCCTCCCAGAGAGCAACCGTGCAGCGCTGGTCGCACCACACGAGTCTGAGCAGGGCTCGCAACTGAATCAGAACGAGCAATTGCTGTTAGAGTTGCTGGACAAAACCATCAGCACACAAGAAATCCTAGCAGAACGGCAGCACGAGATGGCCGACCTCATCACTACCCATGGCGACCAGCTGGAGCGGATTTCTTCAGCGCTCTCGCGAGTCGAGTCCATCCTGCTCGATAAGGAAGCAAAGCGAAACAAGGCCGCCGTGAAGTAGCATGAACAAAGTACAATGTATCCATGTGTGACGTTTTATGAGACGAGGCATTTCTACTACTTCATTAAGAGTTACATAACACCGCTACTTCTCGTCATATTCATTTATCCTGGGCCAAAAAATGATGGCGGTGCCGCGCCGCCGATGGCTCCACGCGAGGCTGCATAACCGAGCCTATAGATATCGTCACTCTTTCCTACACCGCGTGTCCTCTTTCTCGACATATTCCCTATTTGCCGAGTCACCCTCGGTCGCTATCACCTCCCACAGTGGTCACAAACCTGGATCCTTCAAGACCCTCGCCCATACCTTCTCCGCTGTCGAGGTGAGCCTTTTCGCGTCTTGACAGACCTCGCCTTCTTCTCTAACGCTCTAATATTCTGCTATAGGATGTGAAGAACTCGCGGGTCGCTGGCGTTCAGCTTCTGTCCGACGGATATCGTCGTTTATTGGCCTTACCAACATCTCAAGAGCTGGCATGCGCTTTGTATCTCACAGCGTCGCAGCTAGCGCCACCCTACGAGGGCGTGGAGCTCCGTTTTGGAGCCAAGAGCTTCGTTCGGTTCCTAAAGCAACTGGAGACAGAGGAGATCGGAGATTTAGACTCGAGAGAAACGCTGGAGAAGCTTCTGGCCACATTTCCGGACTACGGACGGGCCACCCAGGCTCTGCTGGACAGTGGGCGCGCTGTAGTACCGGAGATTGAAGATATAGGCGAACTACTGAGCATTCAGGCTGTTTATGAGCAGTTGATGGCCATTGCAACCGACGAAGGAGCTGGTGGAGTCGCGAGGAAGCAGCAACTAGCGCTAAAACTGCTGCAGCAATGCAGGTATAACCAGTCATTGCTGGTCTCCCTGAAGTTGACGGCGGAGGTTTAATACTTGTTGTGCCTTGGCCTTTGACACGCAGGTGTCCTGAGGAGAGGATTTTTCTCGTCCGTATGCTGACGGTAGGTACCATATCTTGACATTCTGCTAGACGACGAGCGTGCTGACGACGGGTTTGGGCGTTGTTCTATAGCATCAAAACTTGCGCATTGGAATGGGAGAAAAGTCGATTCTCTCGGCCCTCGCGATGGCTTGTAAGCCGTCGAATGATGACGAGGCATCGTCAGCACTAGAGAAGGAGTGGATCGACTGTGTTACGCTGGCCTACGCCCAACATCCTAACTACCGCGTACTGGCCGAGCTCGTGCACGCGAGTCAGCACGAAAGAGACATAGCTCGAAGGATTAGCTGGCTGCAAGATCAAGCCAGGCCAGCAACAGGTGTACCAGTGCTGACTATGTCTGCTTATCCAGCGTCCAGCGTCACAGCGGTGCTGGATCGAGTGGATAAGTCCACAAGTGGCACCGCCACCTGCGAGTACAAGTACGATGGCGCGCGTGTTCAGGTGCATTTGTCGCTAGCAGACGGCGTCGGGCGGATCTTCAGTCGCAATATGGAAGACGTCACAGAGAGATATTCATCACTTCTGGGCGTGCTGGAGAATCGTGTGACAGCTCGCAATGCAGCAACGCCACACTCTTCTTGTGTGACCTCGCTTATAGTGGAAGGAGAGGTGGTGGCATTGGATCGAGAGACAGGCTCGTTCCTCCCGTTTCAAGTGCTGCAGACGAAGACTACGACCGAGTTTTGCTTGTTTCTATTCGACTTGCTTGCTGTTGATGACACCAACCTTCTACAGGTACAGGGAGTCCTTGGTGTGAAGACGAGCTAACGTAACCTAACGCTCTATGTTGTGCTCTCTCATCTGGCGTAGAAATCGCTTCGCAAGCGTCGAGCCTTGCTGCACAATCTGGTTGAGGAAGAGCCTGGATACGTCGAGTTTGTAAAGCACGTCGACATCAGCTTGGTATCCAACGAGGCAACGGATGAAGAAAAGCCAGAAGCATCTGCTGTGCGCAAGTGTCTTGAACTAGCAGTGTCCAGTGGCTGTGAAGGATTGATGATCAAGGCACTGGACGGCGAAGAGTCGGAGTACAAGGCTGGCAGACGATCGTACTCGTGGATGAAGCTCAAGCACGACTACTTGTCGGATGAGGCGACCACAAACGCGTCATCGGAAGGGAGGTCTGTTGCCGCAAGTGCTGCTGGGAATGGCACCTTCCTCGCAGACACGCTGGATCTGGTTCCTATCGGTGCGTTTTACGGCAAAGGGCGGCGCGCAGGAGTGTTTGGGTCTTTTCTCATGGCGACGTACAACTCGGTGAGCGGCAAATTCGAGGTAAGAACTCACTATCCAAGCTTAACGCTGATGCGGGCCAAGCTCTAATCGTTTTTGTGTGCTGGTTTTCTGTATTGCAGACGATCGGAAAGGTTGGCACGGGCTTCTCGGATGCGCAACTATCGGAGGTGGCAGCACGTCTTCAGCATCAGCTTCTGCCTGAGACGGATGAGGTGCCAGGACAGTATCAGTCCATCGCGATTCGAAGTCGCCATCCTGATGTTTGGCTCTCACCGGAGGAGGTTTGGGAGATCAAAGCTACGCAACTCACCGAGTCTCCTTCGTACACTTGCGGCGCTAGCTCAGCAACCGAGACGTCTGGTACTGCTGCTACATCTCGAAAGGGGTTTGCGCTTCGATTCCCGCGCTTCGTTCGGTATCGACCTGACAAGAAACCTCTACAAGCAACGGACAGTGAACAAGTCGTGGAACTTTTCCAACAGCAGCAACAGATTCCACACTAGACGGTGGGAAAGGATACTTGGTTAATCCGTATTTTCAAGCTGAGGTTCATTGGTCCCCGCTGTCAAATGTCTTTTTCTCAAAGTCAACTGATGACAGCAGCTCGATCGAAACATTCAGCCACGACTTCAGCGTCACTTAAGCATTCTCGCCTCGGATGGGTGAGTACTCGTTTTGTCTCTGGTAACGCGAGTACAGCGTGACCAGCACAAAGACGCCAGCAAAGAGACCAGCAATACCCAGGCACCACATGAGAATGAGATTGCCGATTGGAGTGACGAGAGCTTCCTGGCGCTTGACACGTGACGGTTTGTTGGCAGCAAGCAGGTGAGCGGCACCGCCAAAATCGCACGTCGCGCCCTCCTGCCTGTGCGTGTGCCAGTACTCGTTGAATGCCCAGTCGCAGCGTTCCTCGAGCGTGTTAAAGCGGTTCTCAAGGCCCGTGCAGTCCACCTTCTTGTCGGGATTCCCACAAGCAAAGTCCAATCCGTTGGTGAGATCGATCGGCTGCACTCCGCGCTTGGCTGCGCACTTGAACGAGCCCTTGTCTTCTGCCAAAACACCTCCTCACTACGGTGATAGTTGGACACGTTCTTGGGGAAGACACCTTTGCGTACGAGGTCGAGGAAGTTCCAACGCGAGCCAAACTCCGTCTTGAAGTTCCAGAAGTACCAGCCGTGACCCACGGCGTAGGCGTTGAGCTTCTTGAGGTTCAGGGCACGAGCGAATGCGACTTCTTCCTCCTCATTTTGCTGGCCGAACGTCGTGTTGCTTGTTATGGGACACTTTTCGAAGGACGGGCCAGACTGACCGGTGCCGTAAGGACCTTGGATCGGCTTGGTGACGTCCAGTGGAGTGCCTGGGAACCCCACACCGAGGTACTTGCTGTGCACGGGGCAAGGCGTTTGGCGACACTGGACCTTGGGGAAGCCTGGCAGGTTGTCATTGAAGCCGTTCAGCCACATTTGGCAGTTGTCCGTGGCGAGCGACCACTCTCCGACGATCACAGGCATCCGCTCGTTCTCCATGTCTGCGATCGTGTACTTCTGTTGGCAGGCATTGGCGAAAAAGTCTGCCTTGGTGCCAGGATTGTTCCAGGCCTGATAAATGTGCGTGTCCAGAGCGATATCGGGGCCCCCCGCATGATTTGAGACCAGTACTGGACGCCAAAGCGGAACGAGTCGTGCAGCACGAACTTCCAGTGCGGGGCACGCGCCTTGACGCGCTTGTAGGATCTCCAGTAGTAGTCTTTCAACATGTCAATGGGGGTGAGCTCCCACGGCTCGTTAACCGGCTCAACGCCGATAATGGCCGGATGTTCGGCATAGCGATCCACCAACGTCGTTACCGTGTGCAGCGAGTGGTTCAGGTTTTCATAGTTGAGCGAGTTGTACGAGTTGGTGCTCAGATTGAAGTCACCGGCCCATCCAGCCGCACGCAGTGGCCAGTGCTCGAACGTCGTGGTGCCAATTGGCTGCGTACTGCCGATCGACGTCCACTTGATGCCTGCAGCCATTCCGCTATTGTCGAATCCGTTCTGGGACCCGATGAGGCCGTGGATGTCCAGAAGGACCTCGATATTGTACTTGAAGGCCAATTCAATCACGCGGTCTAGCTCCTTGACGGCGCCATCAGTGCAGCCGATGTAAGGCTCGTACGGATTAAACATCCAGTCACCGACGGGCACGCGCACCGAGTTGACGCCAGCTTCGGCCAGTTCTTTCATGTCCTCCTCAGTGACCCACGTGGCCCAATGGATACGCAGCTGGCGGTTGGCTTCTTCACCGCCCAGTGCCGTACAGAAGGTGTAGGTGTCCATGGCTGTCTTCTCGGGAGCCCGGTCGCCATAGTGCTCCTGCGTGCTGAGGAACTGGTAGAATAGAGAGGGAGTGATGTATGGCTCCAACACAAGCCAACCACCAAGGTTCACACCGCGTACTTGACGGTTGAATGGCGTCGCGTGCTTGTCGCTGGAGCACGTTTGGTTCTCGTCATTGGGGCGGAAGCTCTCGAAAAAAGCGACATGGAGCGCACAAAAGCCTCGGCATCGTTTTCCCAAAGCCACTTGGCGTCTGGAGAGTCCTCAGCATCAACGGGCGACAGCGTCAGCGCGGACAGCAGTGCTGCAACTTTGAATAAGGTATTGGCGGCCTGCATTGGATTTGTCGGCTGCACGATGAGGGACTTGAGCTGCTGGAGGTAGATCGCAAACTGAAAACCTGAGACGCTGTGTGTCGAATTGCGATGAAAAGCGATCAAGATTGGCATTGCGAAACGACGAACTACGTATGCTTCAAAGCTCCTAACACTGTTAGTGTAAAATTTACGGAAACGTTAAATTGGATTTTATTTTTATAAAACCTAGCGTAATTTTTGAAAACCATGTGCAATGTTTTATTTCTAAAAAGCTTCAAACTTACAAAACTTTTGAGTCAAAAGGTACATTTAGAAAGTAGTCTTTTAACCATCATGTTATTAGCTACCTAGCCGCTTCGGTAGCTCCAGTTCTGGTTTCTTGGGCGACTGTGCTGGTGGCCTGAGGAGGTTGCTCCACCATAATCTTCTACGAAGTTTGAATCTTGCTCTTGTTACATGTACTTTTTTAAAACTTAAAACATGATTGTGCACTGGACATTTGTCAGAAAGCCTACGTTCACCAATATTTTGTGCATAGAGCAGACGAGAGTGAATCGGTATGCCTTAAAACGCTACCGGTTCTTGTGTGGTATTTAGAGAATTTTCTCTACTATTATGTAGCTACACAAGTGACTTGCAGCACACTCCTCAAACCCACTAAGTGTTAAGCCCAAGATGAATTTGAAGATCTTTCTCACTCATAGACTAATGATGGTTTATTTATGCTAAGTATCGACGTTGGTCACTACGCTATCCAATACGTACGAGAAATGCTTGTACCTCTCATATGCTAGTTGCTTCGGATCCAGTTTATCATCGTGGGCAAGTGGAATGCTTGCATCGGGAGGTGTGCTTCGCACCAGTGACAAATACTGCTCGAACTATTGCACGACCAATACACCACAGCTGTGTCCATCACATTGGCGCCATCCAGTAAATGTTTTAGCTTGCATCTCCATGTGAGAGCTCATAAATTTCATGAAAACGCCACTTATAACCTCTTGCACTGCATCCAAAATCGATTTTTTGTGGATCGGATCATACTTCCACACAATTTTGCGCTCCATGTCAAAAATCATGCCGCACCAGTGAGGAAATTCAATGTCAACGTTCGTTGGACAGCAAACGATGCGATTTGAGCGCATCCCCGTGAAAATATGATCCTTTGTGTCGATGTATTGATTCCTTCGCTCTACATCTGACAGCTGCAAATATAGTGGGTCAGCAACCGTAACATATTTCGAATTTTGCCAGGTTTGTGGCTCTGCCTCTTTGACAACGCGTAGCGAAGCCAGAAATACACACGAATCACTCAGCCATTGGTCACCTCCATATCCTGCTAAATCCAAGAACGAAATATTGTGGCCATTTGCACTAAAAACACTGTCGACGTTCATGAAAGGTATCATGTGTAGGATGCGTTGACGCTCCACTTCTTTGTGGTCGTCATCAATAACAATTTTCTCCACAAACTTAACCAGCTTCCGGGCCTTGGTCAGCTTCTTTGATACTTCGTGCCACCTTCGCATTCGCTCTATATCCACCAGACTAAACGTTCCAACGCCAAGAATCGAAATCACTATCACTTGATGCCAGTTTTGTGTCATTGATTAGCTCTTCACGGATCTTCACGTTTGTAGCCGAGTCTATGCTTTTCATCACCAAAGGTTCTATCAAGATATTGGTTAATGAGTTTGCATGTTGATAAGTATTGGTGAAGATGACACCAATATTACCAAAATATTGAAAATAACACATTTACATACCTGGAAGCACGAATCGGATATCGCTCTCTACAGAACGGGAGTGATTACCCTTGATCACTAATGCTTTGGGACGTTTGAACTCCGCACCATCGAACATGCGGCGGATACCGTCGAGAGCATCTCCAACAATCGCTATTGAAAGCTGTTGTGTCTTCACAACCTCGTCCAAAACTTCCAACGTAACATCACCCACAGTGGCGACCGTGTCCACATACGCCAGTGTATCCGTAATCTCCTTGCTCCTCTTTGCCTTCTTAAAGCTTTCCTTTTGCTTTGGTCTTCCAGATGGACGACTAGCTG